TTTCTTATGCTCTAAGTCTGTAGGTGGGCAATTGAAGGGGGCTTGTCTCTGGTCCCCAATATGTCAAGCCTCCTCTGGGAAGACTCAGTAGCTGGAGGTGACCCTACAGTGGGAGCTGGAACCATCTGCAGGCTCCCTTCTCTTGCACACTTGGCTTTCAGCTGGAGCTTCCGCGGGGTGGAAGACCAGCACGATGTTGACCTTGCCACGCCGTCTCTCCACGTGTGTTGTTTTGGACTTTTTCGCAGCGGGATGACGGCGTGGTGTCATGTTGTGTTAGGATACCACAACTTCGGGACACCTGGGTGGCTCAGTTGGTTAAGCATCTGCTTTCAGCTCAGGTCAGGATCCAAGGGTCCTGGGATGAGTCCCGCATCAGGCTCCTTGCTCAGCAGGGAGCCTGCTTCTCCCTCTGCCTGCCTCTCCCCCTGTTTGTGCTCTCTCTCTCCAACAAATAAATAAATAAAATCTTAAAAAAAGGGGGGGGGGATAGCATGACTTCTGCCTGCCTTGATCAGGCCAGGGGCTCCCGAAGGTCCTCCATGTTTCAAAGGAACACAGTCCATGTCCCCCATTTGATGGGAAGGTGGCAAAGCCACGTGGTAAGGAGAGCACAGGGGTTGGGAGCACTTACCGTACCCATGCTCGGTATATGCAACCCAAGACAAACGTCCCTGCTCATTAGAATCACTCTCCAAACTCCCAATGCCCAGCCAATGCCCAGGCTCTTATCTCAGACCTATGAAATCAGGATCTCTAGGAGGGGAAGCCAGGCATCCCGGTCTCCTTTAACTCATCTGTAAGCAAGTGATGACAGTGAAGTCTCCTCCCGTGTATGCAAAGCACCTGGCAGACTGGCTGGCTAGTAAACATCCATGTTTCTCCAAGTGTGACCACCCCACCACCCCACTCCTTGACTCAGCCCACAAGGTCATTGGCAGTGTACATAGGTGGCCTGAGAAAGGTTATAGATAGGAGTTTCTTTTTATAATCTTCTAGTTATGACAAATGATTATGGTTTTCCATTTTCGGTGGTTACGTAGTCTCTCTGTCTCTCTCTTTAAGTATGCTTCCATGCCCAGCATGGAGCCCAAGGTGGGGCTTGAACTCAGGACCCTGAGATCGACCCCTGAGCTGAGATGAAGAGTCAGAATACTTAACCAACTGAACCACCCACGCGCCCCTAGACTCCCTTTAAAATACATTCGAGTGAAAAAGGAAAGGAGGTCATTTGAAAAGTCCTAAGTAAACAATGATATAGCCTAACACATAGGGCAGAAATCACAAAGGTGCTGGGTGAGGTGAGGCCGGGAAAACCCTCTGGCAGACGATCAATCATGGTAGCCATCACTGTTCCTATTATTAGCATTACCTTTAAGGAGCGCCAGTTAAAGATCAACCATGGGGTGATTCTGAAATTAAAAAAAGGACACATCTGAGAGCTGAGTGGGCGGAAGCGGACTAGATGTCTGGGAAGCCAGTAAAGAGCCCCATGGTGAGTGTCCTGATTCTCCGCAAGGAGCTGGAATTCTCTGAACTGTGGGAACCCGATGGGGAAGCATCCACAAGCTCCTGAGGGGAAGTAGAGGTCAGTCGTCCCTCCGTTCTCAGGAGGAACCCTAGAAACCAGGGAGATGGACATTACATGCAATGAGGAGATCAAAAAGAAAGGGGGTAGAAGAGTGGGAGGAACAGAAGAGACCAGCTGGCTCTTGTCCCACTTGGGTCCCCAGTCCTCCTGTGAATTTCAGCCACTCTATGCCACCCCCTACCTCCCCCCATTCCTGCCCCACCAGGCCCTTCTGCAAAGGGTAGAGAATGGGGCTGTAACTCCCATGAGCCTTTCAGATCTGAACATTCAGTAATTCCAAGAATTACCTGGTTCTGGGAACCTCTTAAAGGCCTTGGAGGCAGAGATTGTGCCATGGAGGGCGAGGCCAGGGAAGGCCAATCAGAGGCCAAGAGTGATAGCAGCACGTGGGGCCTTCTGGCAAAGTGTGGAAGGACAGGGAGTGGCCAGGTTCAGCTAGAGACACAGCCTTTGTTTTCTTTAAAGTACTGCCTTTTGAGGCTCAGAAGGAGTAATTAACCAGAAATTAACATCTAGGATTCCACAACCATACATGGTTATTCTCAGGTATAAAGTAAAAAGGGAGAGAGACCCAGGCTTCAGGCTTCAAAAATTAGACCTAAATTCAAAATCCCACTGCAGGCTGTGGCTGTGTGACTTTGGGCCAGTTACTTAACTTCTCTGGACCTCCGTTTTCTGGTCTATAAAATAGGGTCAGTAAGAGTCTGCCTGTGTGTTATTGGAAGGATTAAATGGGACAATGCCTACAAAGCACCGGACACAGAGTAGTAGCCCAATACTTGGGAGCTGTGGCCGTGATCTTCTGAAGCTGACCCAAGAGATCTGTGCTGGGCTGAGAGCCCACTGCCCAGAGCTGCTTCTCCCATCTGTCTGCTGAGTTCAAGAGCAGACACTGGCCCTAAGGCTTGGTTCCAACCATACCAGGGTCCCATTTGTCCCTCTTTGCTGTCCATGCCTTCAACAAGGCCCTGGTAACATAAAAGGCATCTGATAACCATTAACTAAATGAATAAATAATCTGCTGCGGAAAGAGGGGCTCAAGGGGATGTCTGAAGGAGGTTTAGGCCAAATGCTTATAAGAGCCTAGGGACGGGTTTGCTGCGTGTGTGATTCCAGGGCAATTGTCTGTCTGGGAGGAGGTGAGGGGACAGGTGGAGGCGGAGGGCTAGTGCTGGAAGACTTGGAAGAGCTGAGCCTTGCAGAGTGGGTAGGATGGAGGGCATGTCAGACAGAAAGGTCCAGAAGAGCAGAAGCTTGTTCAGGGTCAGGTGGGAGAGTCAGATTTCAGTCCACATGTTTTAAAAAGATTGTACTTATTTATGAGAGAGAGAGAGAGAGCAAGAGAGCACCCAAACTGGGGAAGGGGAGGGGCAGAGGAAAAAGGAGAAACAGACTCCCTGCTGAGCAGGGAGCCCACCAGGCTCAGGGTGGGGATGCAGGGGCTCAATCCCAGGACCTTGGGATCCTGACCTGAGCCAAAGTCAGGCACTTAACTGAATGAGCGCCCGCCCCCCCATTAACAAGGTGTTCTGAGAAGGAATCAGGCAACTCAAGGCAGCGAGTTCCCTGTCTGTAGAGGTATTCAAGCAAGTAGAGGCATCCCAGGAATGGAGTGCAGTGGGATTGGATGAGATGTCCTCTAATATTCTACCCAGCCAGAGATTCTGTGACTGTTGGTAGGTCTGACTCAGGGGAGGATGATGGACAGAGATTGCCAGAGGTTGTTTGGCAGACTGTGCACCTGCTCCCTCTCCAACAGCAGCCTCATTCCTTTGTTTGTATTCTTAGATCCCTAAGAGCAAGTGTCTCCAAGTTTTGCAGCCTGGGGCTTACATGGAAGAGCAGGAGAAAAGGAAAAATGCTTTGCGGGGGGGCCTAGGGGTTTTCTCCCTCCTCCTGTTGAGTCTGCCTATGGAAAATGTTTCTTGCTAGTTTTTTCCAGTAGTCCCCAGTTTTGGCCAACACGTAACTAAGCACCTAAATACCATGTTTCCCAGCCTAGTTAGGTGTGGCCATGTAATTAAATTCTGACCAGATGTAATGGATTCTACTTTAGGTCATGGCCTTAATGATGAATCGGTGTGGCTTCTGCTAGTCCCTTCCCCACTCCCTTTCCACGGGTTGAGATACACATGGTACGTACTGAAGCAGCTAGTTTGGACCCAAAAGTGGAAGCCACGTTGTTGTTTTTTTAAAAGACATATTTATTTATTTGAGAGAGGCAGGGGGAGAAGGAGAAAGAATCTCAAGCAGACGCCTTGCTGAGTGAGAGCCTGATGCAGGGCTTGATCTCACGACCCTGAGATCACAACATGAGCTGAAACCAAGAGTCTGATGATCAATGGACTGAGCCACCCAAGCGCCCGGAGAGCCATGTTTTGGGGGTGGCAGAACAATGAGCTAAATGTAGCTGGAATCCTGGATGGTGAAGTTGTCATTTTAGCCTCAGTACTCTTGGGGTACTCAGTACTCAGTACTGACCCTTGGAGCTGTTACGCGACAGAGAGAGAACTTTCTATCCCATTTTGAGTCTCCATTACCGCAGCCCAAACCCAAATCTCAGTCAATAGATCCTCTTACTTGCCTCATGTTCTTCTCAAACTGATTATGCACAGGAGGTAAGGTTCTTCCTCCCCCAGCTGACCTCCCAGAGCCTTGTCCTGACAGCCCCCTTGGCAGAGGGACTCGCCCCATAGATGAGGACCATGAGAATCCTTGAATTTGAGCCCTCAGTAATCTGGGGTAAATCCCGTAATGTTTTAAATCTTAGTTTTCTCCATTTTGCAGGTGGCACCGATGGATACCACTCATTTCAAAAGGTGGTTTTTCTATCATTTTAATTGTATTTTATTTGTAAGTAGGCTCCATGCCAGGTGTGGCCCCAATGCGGGACTTGAACTCACCACTCTGAGATGGAGACCTGAGCTGAGATCAAGAGCCGGAAGCTTAACTGACTGAGCCACCCAGGCGCGCCCTGCCCCCCACCCCCCAAAAGGTGATTTTTCATGAAAATGACACGCAGGATCAATAAGACTGCTTATGCTAGAGATGGAGAGGAGGGGGAAGCAGCATCACAAAGAAACAGGAATTTTTCTTGCATTTTGTAAGAAATCATGGAGACACCTTGGCCAGAACATTGGGCACCAAAATAAAACAAAAGGAAACACACTGGTCTCTTCCCGTCCAGGCGAACCAAACCGGGGACACACTCTCCCGGGCGCACGACCAAATACAGACACTGACAAAACCGGTTCTCATTGGTTCGTGCAAATGCAGCCCCCCCGCACAGGCAGACGCACGACCCTGGGCCGAGGGGGGACAGATGCCACACACAAGCTTCAGGTGTACTTTCTTTATTGTCCTTCCTGCCCTTAGGGAGGTCCAGTTTCTTCACTGTCTTTCTTTTTTAGGGGCTTTTTTTTTTTTTTTTTTTGGCGACTGCCCCTCCATTCCCTGCCTCTTGCTCCCTATCTTGTCCTTTTGCTGGGACTGGGGGCACTTCCTTGGTGGCCCCTCGGAGCCTCAGTCAGGTAGGGTAAGTCCGGGGGTGGGGTGGTGGGGGGACAAGCAGGCCTGGGCCCCACCCCAGATACCAATTCTCTGATGCTCCGATTCTCCGTGGTCCTGTCTCCATGGCTGTGTGCTCCGGCCTCACCTAGGGCAAGGGAAGAGAGGGACCGTTCTCATCCTGGGTTCTCACCCTGCCTCTCCTGGTCACTTGCTCTGTGTCTCCAGAGAAGGACACTCTCCTCCCTGGGACTCTGTTTCCCTCCCCGTTAGCCAAATTTCCCTCCAATTGGAAAGATTCTGCATTTCCCCCTTTGCTCTGGTCCCTAGGACACTTGGAGTTGAATGTGTGTCTTGTTTTATTCTGAGTTGAGGCCAGAGTCCCTGGATCCCTTCTTCCCACCCGACCACACACATTCAGACATGTCCTTCCCAGGCAGAGGGCCCTTTGGGTCCCCTGACTCCTTACTTCCAGCTCTGTCTCAGGACCGTGCCCCTCGTCTTTTCCTCTCCGTATTCTGGAGCTTGGTCACCAGCTTCCTCTCATGGCCTCCAGGGCTGGGGCGGTTGGTGTTGGCGGCAGCTTCTCTCTTGGTGCGACCTTTCCGGCCTCCTGCTCCTGGGAACCAGGCAAGAGGCTGGGGTGAGGTGGACGGAGGCCTGGTACATCCAAGGAGAGGCAGAGGGGTGCCGGGAGTGCAGGGTGGAAGGAGGGAGACTGGGGAGCGGTGGCAGCATAGCTTTGGGGCAGTCAGGACCCCCGTTGCCCCCAACGTGGAGTGAGGGGCCCCTGATGGTCTCTTGTTGATCCCATATTCTAGGGGTACGCGAGGTCCCAGGGCTGAATAGGACAGCCCTCAATGGAAGAGGGGTTGGAAAGGGGTGACTTGAGGGGTCAAGTGAACAGGGTGGAGAATGGGTTGGAGGGTGGGGAGAAGGCTACGGAGGAATCCTAGTTGGGGGTGTGGAGGAAGCAGGAAGGTGATGGGGCCAGACCTTACCCATGTAGGAGTGAGATAGGCCATAGAGCTCGTACTCATCCAGGCTGGGGTCTCCATCCTCTGGGCCTCCAGGCTGTTGGGCTGGGCTGGCTGCTCTCGGGAAACTGGCCTTCATACCGGACTCTCTCTCTCTCTCTCTCTGTCGTCTTCGAAAGCTCTGTTTGTGTCTGGTTTCTCCACACCTCCCTGGTCACCAGCCCGACTTATAGGGCCACGTGTCCTCTTCAGGCTCTGTCTGATGCAATCTGGCCCTTTCCCAGAACCTGACCCAGTAAACAGCAATCACGAGGGGGAAAGAGTCGGTCGTGTGAGTCCCAGCCCCTTTCCCTCATCTCCTCCCTCTGACTGGGGCTCGCCCAGCTGGGTATTTTTCCACAGAGGAGATCCCCGCCCCTGAGGGAGGAGGAGGAAAGAGGCAGAGTGTGAGCATAAACAGTCCTTGGGATCATGGCCAGTGGGGATCCGAGGGCCTCACCTGGCTGACCCCTTCCGGTCGGTCCCCTCCCCCTGCCACACAGCTGACCCCCACCCAGTTCTGGCTCAGACACTCAGGTGGCAGATGGTGGAGAGAAGAACACACCCCAAACTAGGTCAGTGGTTCTCACCCCTAACGCACCCAACACCCCTTTTCGATAGGAAACTTCTGGAAAGCCCCCTTAATATCCCGAGCTGCGGGGGGGAGTGGGTCCCTAGGGAGTTTCCCTCACCCAAGAGGGAGCCTAGCAGAGTGGTTAAGAGTACGGATTCTGGAGCCAGCGGCCCTGGGCTCAATCCTTTCATCTGCTACTTCCTGGGTGACCCCAAACATGTCACCTTCCCTCTCTGTGCCCTGGTTTTCTCAACTGTAAAAACGAGGATGATGATAGCTTCGTTGACCTCCCAGAGTTGGCGAGAGAATCGAGCAAGAGTCCACAGGGAAGGACCCTTGCGAAGGTGCCTGGTACCATGTTCACTGCAACGCAGGAGCTATCCACAGAATTTCCAAACAGCTCAATCCTGCCGTCCCTAGGAGGTAAAGCAGACGTAAAAGGAAACAAATTTTTAAAAATTTTTCTTTTAAGATTTATTTATTCATTTGAGAGAGCATGAGCAAGGGGGAGGGAAGGGGGAGAAGCAGACTCCCCGCTGAGCAGGGAGCCCGATGTGGTAGTGGTGGAGGGGACTCGATCCCAGGACCCCAAGATCATGAGCTGAGCCAAAGGCAGGCACATAACCAACTGAGCCACCCAGGCGCCCCAGGAAGTCGATTTATAATGAAATAATGTCTTTCACAACGTGGATATACTGGGGTAGAAGACATTATGAAGTCCACAGGTGTTTGGACCTATTTCATATGAATTAAGGAAAGGGATTCGGAGAAGAAACGCATGAAACTGGTATTTTCCACCTTCGCCTGGAGGGATATGCCGAGCTGACCCAGAGAGGCCACTCCCTGTCCACTCATGTTTTCACTGAGGTATATGGGTCGGCTCCCATGGTCCCGGGCAGGAAAGGAGGCAGATACAACCTTCCACCTTTTTTATTTTTTTTAACCTCAGTGGTCTCCAGTACAATAGGACAGGCTGGGGCAAGGCCAAGTGGGTGGTCGTTCTCTGCTCCTGTTCCCACTTCACCGTGAGTCCATTCGAACACTGTTTCCTCTCAGTGTTACCTAATTTCACCTCCCCCCCATCAAACCCTGTAATAACCCAGTCCCGTCCTTTGCTTCACAAGAAGAGATACTTCTGCTTGCGTTTCTCCTTGACCTGAGCCAGAATTAAATTTAGTTTTTGTTTTTCAGGTTTGGTTGATTTGTGAATTCTTGAATATCCAGGAAATGAAAGTGAGGTCACTTGAATAAAACACAGTTTGGGATAATTACGTAAGGGCCCCGGGGAAGGCCACCCCCAAATGTGCCGCTTTTGCATGTTGGTTATTTTAAATAAAAATTACCTAAGAGACAACCGGTGTGAGGAGGGCTCTCAGACCCTCCTCTGAACCCCGGAAAGCAAGACATAAAATTCCCAAGTAAAAGATCCGCTCCCTGGACCAGGAGGTAAAGAGACATCCTTTCTTTTTTTCTTTCTTTCTTTTTTTTTAACTAATTTACAAAGTTTTCTATGTCTTTTCAATTCCTCCCAGTTTTATTGTCTCTTTGTCTAAAAAGATAAAAACTACCTGCCTCAGTCATTTCCTGAGGTCTTAATTTCATGACACATGACACACATAATAAAACTTTGCTTTTCTGGGTTGTTAATCTGTCTCGTGTAAATTTAATTTTTTTTTTTTTTTTTTTTTAAGATTTCACTCATTTACCCGACAGACAGATATCACAAGTAGGTGGCGGGGTGGGGGTAGCAGGTTCCCCGCTGAGCAGAGAGCCCGATGTGGGGCTCGATCCCAGGACCCTGGGATCATGACCCGAGCCAAAGGCAGAGGCTTTAACCCACTGAGCCACCCAGGTGCCCCTCAATTTAATTCTTAGTCCAGCTGGAAGGTACTGAAGGCTAGGAGGAGAAGTTTTCCTCCCCACTAATAATAACACACTCCACGGTAAGAGAAAGAGCAAAGTAATCATAAGCAAAGATAACATACCCAGACAAATTAAGGTGGAAACCACAAGGAGATATGGGTCCTTTTTTTTTTTTTTAAGATTTTATTTATTTATTTGAGAGAGAGTAGGAGCACTGGGGAGGGGCAGAGGGAGAGGGAGATGCTTCACTGACTGAGCCCCCCAGGCGCCCAAGATATGGGGTTCTTCCAAGGCAGTGGGCTGGGACGCCTGGGTGGCTCAGTGGGTTAAGTCTCTGCCTTTGGCTCGGGTCATGATCTCAGGGTCCTGGGATCGAGCCCCACATCGGGCTCTCTGCTCAGTGGGGAACCTGCTTCCCCCTCTCGCTCTGCCTGCCTCTCTGCCTACTTGTGATCTCTGTCTGTCAAATAAATAAATAAAATCTTTAAAAAAAAAAAAAAGGTGGTGGGTTTCACCACTACCTGGGATGGGGTAGGTTCTAGGCTCAGGTCATTGGAGATAAGTGTTTTCGCTTCTTGACTGTGTAGCAGGACACTCAAATGCCTGCAGGATGTGGTTCAATTCTGCATGTGACTGTCCTGCTCGGCCTGCCTGCCTGTCACTGTGACTACCAAGAACACCCCCACAAATTCCCCATTACTAGCTCACTTCTTGGGCTCACTTCTGACTTTCCATCTGCTCATCGGGAAAGGGTAGATGGAGAGAGCACCGCTGGGTGGGGGGGAAGGGCTTGGTCCTGAGCCAGCATGGTGTGGACTGCTTTTTCCAGCGATCTTCAAAGAAGGGAAACTGAAGCTCAGAGAGACTTGCTCAAGGTCACAAGGCTGGTGAGTGGTGAAGGATTCTCCCCACCACTGAGGTCTACCTGATCCCAGTTCCAGCCTGGTTCTAAGTCAGCACAGCCAGCCAAACACTGGCAAAGGTTTGGCAACTGTGTGTGTGTCAAGCGCTTGTCAGGGATTCCTTCTTCCTGCCCTCCCTCCCCCTACTTTGGACCAGGCTGGGTGCTAAGAATGCCCCATTTTTACCCCATTACCCTAATTTTTTAAAAATTATTTTATTTATCTATTTGACAGAGAGTAAGCACAAGCAGGGGGAACAGCAGAGGCAGAGGTAGAAGCAGACTCTGCTGAGCAAGGATCCCAATGTGGGGCTTGATCCCAGTACCCCGAGATCATGAGCTGAGCCGAAGGCAGATGCTTAATGACTGAGCCCCCATGCACCCCCAAATTACCCTCATTTTATTACACTTTCTCCATATTGTACAGTCAGTCAGCACTAATTTTTTGTTTACTTCTCCATGAGTTGTTCCCCCAAGAAGGCAGTCCTGGGGGCGCATGGGTGGCTCAGTGGATTAAGCCTCTGCCTTCAGCTCAGGTCATGATCTCAGGGTCCTGGGATTGAGCCCCGCATCGGGCTCTCGGCTCAGTGAGGAGCCTGCTTCCCCCTCTCTCTCTGCCTGCCTCTCTGCCTACTTGTGATCTCTCTCTCTGTCAAATAAATAAATAAAATCTTAAAAAAAAAAAAATAAGAATGCAGTCCTGGTTTGGTTTAGTTAGTGGTTAAAGGACTAGGCTGTGCATCCAGACAGCCTGGGTCCAAAGCTGGGTTCTTGCCCTCAGACAAGTTATTTAGCCTCTCTGTACCTCAGTGTCCTCATTTGTATGATGAGATTGATAATAATACCTACCTGGAGGGATTGTTGTGAGGATTAAAAGGGCCAGTTCTTGTGAAGGCTCCGCCCAGTGCCTGGAACAAAGTGAGTGGTCAATAAATTACCATTATCACCATTCACAAGGGCAGGAATCTTGTCTATCTTACTGTAACCCTCCAGGCCTGGCCCACAGTCAAGGCTCAATAAATGATCAGTTGAATTCACCAAGCTATTTTAACAATGGTGGGTTTTAAAGCTTCCAGGTCCTCTGCTCTGGGGGGAACTGAGAGGCCCAACTCTAGTCCCACTGAAGACGATGAAGACACTAGGGCCATCCTCCGCAGAGCCAGCAGAGAACATCTCCCTGTCCTTGATCTTGCACTTGATGGAAAAATAAAGTCTCGATCCTGGGCGGGGCAGGGCAGGCAGAGGGAGGGTGGCCAAGAGAGAAGAGACTTTGGGGAACGCATGGCACGGACCTCCAGGGCCCAGAAGGTGACTCAGTGGGAAAAGGTGTGTATGTGTAATCAGCCACAAGGAAGTTTGTTTTCTTTCTGCATGTGATTGTACCTTCACGATGCTCCAAGAAATCTCTTGCCCAACAGGCATGCCTATTACAAGCCAGCGTGATCAGCCCAAACTAAATCCAGGGGGCTGGGGGGCTCTCAGAAGGGTACCCAACCCAATAGGGAGTGGGGAGGGTGGGGAGGGTGCAGGGGTGAGAAGAGAATCAGGGCAGGCTTCCTAGAGGCAGTGAAGCCTAAACAAGAGTGACTGGGAAAGACAGCAAGATAAACCCACCTGCCCAAGTTAAACCACCCAAGTCAGGAAAGCCTGGACAGCCTGGTGGATGTGCAGAAATCTTTGGCTTCAAGGATCTGGAGATTCCCAGGTTCGAACGCAGAGTATGTCATCATGCCGGCTTGGGGCCATCACTGTGTACCAAGGAGACCCAAGAAACATAAATGCAGTGAAACAATACGGGTCTGTATTGACTTTAGAGCGGCAGCCCAGAGAAGCCCCGAGCCCAGCAGCTGACGTGCAGTTATCCCTGGCTATGTGATAGAATGACCTTGAATATAAAGGGATGTAATCTTTTTT